TATATATAGATTGATGCCTATGAACACAATTTACAAATGAAATGTTATTTCAAAATAAAGTAAAAATTAAGAAGATGATGATGAAATGAATAAATCCCAAAAAATTATAAAAAATAATAATAAATACTTCATAAATTTTAAACTTATTTATACATCATTTTTCAAAAAGAATTCCTTAAATAGGTATTTAAAAAAAAATCAGAGATTTTCAAATAATTTCAAACTTTAAAAATTTATCTAAACTTAATGAAAATATAATAGAATCCAACTTTAATTGGACCGAAGTCCAAACCGACCAACCCAACCCAAACTTGATCGGGTTGGGTTGGGTTGGGTTTAAACCATTAATTGGGTTGGGTTGGATTGGATTGACTTTAAATAAAGCCGATCATGTTTGGGTTGGGTTTGGGTTGGGAAAAAAACCGACCCGACCCAACCCATGCCCATCCCTAACTACTATCAGCTAACCTGAAATAATGTGGTCCCAGTCCCGCATGATTTCAACTGGTTTGAGGTTGCAGAAGTATTATGGGACGTGAAAATGCTTGGCCTCTCCCTACTGCAGATTGGTATCAGATTGACCTCACCCCATCTATAGCTATCAAATGGTTGTTCATATGCCACAACATTGAGCCCATATCCCATAGGACGACATTCACAAATCAAAAGACGAGATTTATCTATCATTTAGTTTGGGGAAACAAGATTGACTTGGCCACTTACATTTACAACCAGATACACATTACAGGCGCATGGAGTGATAGGCACACCTCGCTGATTTTCCCAAGCTTGATAAGTGGGATTTGTAGAGCTGCATGCATACAAGTTCAGCCTGGGGAGGCACCAGAGAAACCAAGTTCCTATATCAAGTGCCACACACTCGAAGCCCAGGACCGAGTCAGAGTTAAGCATCAATAGAAGTTGGAAAACGAGCAACATTGACAGCAACAGGCTGAGGAAGGACCAGCATCTGAGGACTTCGAAATGCCACAAGCTCCTCCACCACCGGCTGACATGGATACCTAGTTATTGAGACAGATGTTTGCCACTATGATAGGACACAGCCGAGACATGCAGAGTCTTCAGTACTCATTTGGAGCACTGAGTACCACCATCCAGTATGTGCAGACCGATATGGTAACCACAAGAAACTTTGCTTCCACTGCCAGCAGTCAGTGCCTTGCAGCACGAAGACAGATGAGTACCTTTAACGGGCGATTGGGCATGTACATTGGCAGGATGGATGGTATACAGTGGCAGGTAAACGAGACATAGGACCGTCTAGGGAGTTTAGAGACTAGAGTTCAGGCCATGCAGGTGGAGCAGACCCAGCAGTCTGACATACTGAGAGAGATTTTATCCCACCTTCCACCCCCTCCTGGAGATGATGCTGTAGGACCAGCCATCCATCACAGCCACCATATTGATCAGGGGAGTACTGTTTACCCCATTTTGATTTTTCCTTCTTCATTTTGTCCTTAAAATTATGTCCTTAATCTTTCGTTACTTTTACATTGAGGACAATGTATTAAATAAGTTTGGGGGTGACATAATTTTAAATCTTTATCTGTGTTTATTGGTATCTATATTCCATTACTGCAGAATGTGTGTATGATGAGTGTTAAAAAATTTTGCATTTTATTCAGTTTGTTTTAATTCTTTTCATGCATAATTGTGTGGGCTTGATAACTTTGCTAGCTATGATGTTATTATTGGACTAGTTTAAACTACAAAAACTTTGGATCTGGTGCTAATTAGACTAATTGATACTTGTTGATGCAACACTTGACATTATCTATGCACGCTATTCGTGCTTGACATGCTAGATGAACGACTGGATTTTGAGCATAAAATAGGTAAAGAATTATAACCCTCTATTGAATTAACCCGTAAACGACCTTAAGACAGTTTGGTGATGGTTGAGCTATTGTAGGAGAGCATTGAGATGAGCGGGGGCTCTGTGCATGAATTTTATTGTGTGGATTGCCTAGACCAGTGGGGTGAAAAGTAAGTGAGAATCTTAAATTGGGGGTTGGTTTTGGAAACTAAATGTCTAAAAAAACAACAAAGGGCATAAAATTAATATGTGAGAATAAGACACTTTGATCGGGTTGGGTTGGGTTGGGTTGGGTTCAAACCATTAATTGGGTTGGGTTGGATTGACTTTAAATAAAGCCGATCATGTTTGGGTTGGGTTTGGGTTGGGAAAAAAACCGACCCAACCCAACCCATGCCCACCCCTAACTATTATCAGCTAACCTGAAATAATGTGGTCCCAGTCCCGCATGATTTCAACTGGTTTGAGGTTGCAGAAGTATTATGGGACGTGAAAATGCTTGGCCTCTCCCTACTGCAGATTGGTATCAGATTGACCTCACCCCATCTATAGCTATCATATGGTTGTTCATATGCCACAACATTGAGCCCATATCCCATAGGACGACATTCACAAATCAAAAGACGAGGTTTATCTATCATTTAGTTTGGGGAAACAAGATTGACTTGGCCACTTACATTTACAACCAGATACACATTACAGGCGCATGGAGTGATAGGCACACCTCGCTGATTTTCCCAAGCTTGATAAGTGGGATTTGTAGAGCTGCATGCATACAAGT